TGATTCCAGATAGTTTGTCTACATAATTTACGTATATATATGTAGGCAGTTATCAGCTGTTTTATACCTTTCACGAAACCTCTTTCTTGTAATTGATTAAGTGTTACAATATTTATGTGACTGACTACTAAAACTGATTATAACTCTATTTGGGTATATAAATGACGAAATGTTGAAAAATTTATGTTTTTGTAAATCGAAATTCAATTGTTTTTATTTGTAAATCTACTAGAAAAAGAACCAAAAAAATTATTTTTTACTCTCTGGTCTATGCACTCGCTGAGAGTGTGCCAATGTTTTCATTTGCGGCAGCATTCGCTCTTGGTGCATATTTAGTTTCAACAAATGTTATAACAGTAGTTGCAGTATTCAGGTAAATTTCTTACTGTAACGAGATATTAATTATCTATCAATTGATTGATACGTAACATTCCCAGTACATTATTACTGGTACAACAGCATATAAAAACAAGTGGACAATTTATCCATTATTCTATTGGCCAAGATTTGGCCTTACTCTCTAAAGAAATTTACATATTATCGATAAGATTAGCCTATGAAAGCTTTCTACTGGATCTTAGGTTTCTGACTCATTTTTACCAAGTAATAATTCAAAATACTAAACTGTTGCTGATTTATAAATTTAGTCAGTTTTACTAGAACTGTGGATTTCAAATTGTAACGGGAAGTAAACTGTACGATATTTTTTCTATCGATGTGTAGTATGAACGAAACATGATGTTCATAGAAGCTTAACTTACACGTTAATACTTCGGAACTGTACCTCAGTCCTCATTTTTTATATTATATTAGTAAAATAATCAATACACCGTTAGAAAGAAGCACTACAGACGAACCTATTTTAATACTTTAAAAAGTCAAAACTGTTAACTCATCAATACGACTTTTCATTTCTGTCAGTGTGATGGTCGAATTTCACTCATTTCAGTTTATAAATGCTGAGTGGTTGTTATTTCAAGATGTTAGATTTCAAATGTAAAAAACTCTAACCATTTGATGAATCGAAAGGTGAATCGGACTTTCTAGAATTTTTTTATTCCCAGTTGGGTCATTTGCAAATAAGAATGTGATGTAAAACTTCACACTGATGGTATATAAAGTGTACTGTAAAAATGCATTTACATGTATTACGATTTGATATAAGATGTTTCTAGGCAATCAGCATACAACCATAAATAGTGGTTTCATCTTAGTTAATACTTCTCAGTATTTCGTACCTGAAGTACTGAAGGAAATAAAGGTCCATGATGTATTCATGCACAATGCATCGAGTACTACAGTCGTGGATACCATTTGTGATATTCTGAAAAGCAATTTTCATCGTAGTGAATTGAGATGTATGCATTGTTTGACATTTTAGAAGTAACCATTATCCTGATACTACTGCTTCGATAACAAAGTTATCAAAATCTCACATCTGAGTTTCCTAACAATTTGCATCAAATACAAGGTACTGCGATACTTATTCAGTTATTTTATTAGCAACATCGTAACTCAATCGATAGAATTTATTCTGTGTAGGGATTAAAAACATGATACTCGCTATAACTAATTAATCAACTTATACGATACTTCTGTATGTAATGAATTGAACTTCTGAGTACTTCACTCTTTTTAGGACAGTTTTTATGCAAAATAGCTATTTTATTGTGAAGATTGATGTTAATTTTGCACTATGATATTGTTTCATATCTAATAAGAAAGTATGGTAAACCTTGTTACTTTTTACTTTTAAATATTTCGAATTTTAATAGAGTTTTTGCAACCATCAGTATGAGTGCACAGTCACTTGGTCGTTCTGCTACGTTAGTTATGGATGCGAAGGAATCAAAACCTGCAGCCAAAAGCATTCTAACACTTTTAGACAGACAAACTCTCATTCCAGTTAACGTGGGGATTGTACCATCAGAATCATTCAAAGGGAAAGTGTCTTTCAATGAAGTTTATTTTAAATATTCTTGTCGATCTGAGGGCCGAATTTTAAAGGTAAACTGACAAAATAAAATTTCAAAGAATGAAAATTTTTCACTCTGATCCCATTATACTCTCTGTTATTCTCACCCAATTCATCAGTGTACCAGAATGTATACTCACAAACGGTATTCCGTTAGAAAGGAAAATTTGAATTTATACAGAAGTTGGTTGTTTATTTCAGTTAATGATAGAGTTCTGCGTCGAAAGTTTGCGTTTTTACGACAGTAAAAATACATAAACACAGTCTTGGAACTTTTATATTCATAAAAATGCAGCGTAATTTGAAAAAAATCAATTAAGTGAAATAATAGCGCAAACTACAAGTAATTCAAAACACTTAAAAGCACTTACAATCCTCTTAAATGGAGACTTTATGCATTTCTTTGTTACACTCTAATTTGTCATTATTTTTTCGAAATTTAATGCGATATAATAGAATTAATTGGTTTTATAAGGCCTTTTATTTATCAAATAATAAATCTGTAACCCCATTTATATGAGAAAATATTGTCTGGAATGGTTTCGCTTTCTTTCACAGAATTTTACTCATACAGTTGAGCCCGGTCAAACAGTCGCATTAGTTGGACCTTCTGGGTGTGGGAAATCAACATTGCTTCAGTTAGTATTGAGATTCTACGATCCATCATATCACGGTCCTGATAGTGGTGTGTTTTTCGATGATATGAATATTAGAGATGTTGCACCTAGTTGGGTTAGAAAACAGATTGGCCTTGTTTCACAAGAACCCACTTTATTCGATCTCACCATAAGAGAGAATATTGCGTATGGAGACAATAGTCGAGAAGTGACAATGGAGGAGATTATTGAGGCAGCACGTGCAGCTAATATCCATGATTTTATTACAACACTTCCAGAAGTGAGTGAAAACATTTGATTTGTTAAATTTGTTAAAAATTACGCTTCAGGTATATATTTTCGTTGTTTTGTCAGCTTTCATGTTATTCGAATTGTTACGAATATTTTCAAATATATTAAATAACTGCTTATAACTTCCACTGTTTTTAAGCAATATGAAACCAAAGTTGGACAACGTGGATCAAAACTATCTGGAGGACAGAAACAGAGGATAGCTATTGCACGAGCGTTAGTTCGTAAACCTGTTTTACTTGTGTTGGATGAGGCCACTTCAGCTTTGGACAATGAGAGTGAGCGTATAGTTCAAGAAGCTCTTGACGCTGCTATGGGGTCGAGAACATCATTAGTTGTTGCTCATCGCCTGTCCACAGTCGTCAGTGCTGATCTGGTAGTCGTTTTACAGGATGGACGTAAGATAGAGTCAGGACCACCAAAAGCACTTCTGGAAATGAAAGGAGCTTTCTATGCATTGCATCATGTAGAGAATTAAATTGTCTACCTGAACTTTTCTGTGATCCTACTATTTTCAAGTACTTTATCTTATATTTGTAACACTGTTAATTATTTAGTGTATCTACAATTCATTTACATAAAGAAAATTATTTTATTCAGCGTTATTGTTTCACTGTTATTTAACGTTCACTTTCTTGTCATTGTGAACTTTATGTTAGTGATAATTTAAAGTATTCGATTAATATTGACTAATTTGGTTGATCTGAAACGTGAATCTAGTTTGTCCTTGAAAATGCAGGTTATTGAAATATACGTGGAAGGTAAACGAACCAGTTTCTCATAGAGTTGTATGAGAAATTGAGTATTATATTAAGAAAACTCAGACCTATAGTCACTATTGTTGCAACAAAACAACTTTCCAATGTCAAGTGGTTTTCAATCGTCCTTCAGTTGATGTCGATCCAAATAAATTTCACTGATAGAAATTGAATTTTAGAAAAAGTAAACTTCACAAAATTATATTCTAAAATAATATTATGAAGTTGTCTACCATCAACATAAAGGAAATTAATGTTATTTAAAAAGCAAGCATACTTTATATTATATTATCAGGAAAGCTCCTTCAACTGTGATTAGTAGAAAAGGTAGTACATTTGGTAGAGTTGTGTGGAATGCTCACATGGTTTAATACATTCAATCTTAAATAATGTAAATATGTTAAGAGCAACATGTGATGACAAGTTACCATAAAACTGATGGCAAAATTTATACAAACGTGAAGTGAGTGGGGGAATGAAATAAGTGAAACTTAAAGAAGACGCAAGGGCGTAAGAGAAAGAATTTATAATTGAAAACTAGATATAATATGTAAAGCAACTATACTTTGCAACATGAGGTTACCAAGGTAGTACACGACGAACAACAATATCCTGATGAATGGATAAGTCAATTTTAGTTCTGTGATACTGATGAATTTGGTGAAGTCTAATTATCCCAATATTTTCTGTCCACTGAGTATTTTAAAGGATTTTGAGATGTCATTGTCGTCTATACTAATATGGACAACTTTGTGACAGTATTCGCGAACACTGTGTTTGAAAAAATTACGTCTTTATTAGAATCAACTTGATACACTCCGACCAGCAAACCCGAGTCATTCCGATTTCCCAAAGTAATCCAAAATTTAATAGTCGTGCGCTAAATACATTGCGCAAATAAATTGTGTTAGTTAAATTTGTATAATTCTTGATCGTTCATCAATGCTTTTCATGTATCATTTAAATGACTGTAATATTTGATTTCTTTGTCACGAGTTTCTAATTTGTGACTAACTTCTACACAGTAAAGTGAGTTTTAAAAAGTGTTATTTAAATACTTGTTTTCATATTTATTTGTATTATTGTTTATTATTATGATAAGTTCATCAAGTTTTAAGAATTCACCATAATAACATAATTATGTTTAATAGTTGGATTCATGAGTCAGTTGAAGCTAGACCATTATGGAAAATTACTAACATCTTCACAAAACCTTCTTCTTATAATAATTGTTTATTATCGAATTATTTCTAATTTTTATTAAACAATAAGCTGAATTAAGCTGACTTAGTTTATCGGGTTCGCTTCATCATCATTTATTTCTTATTTATTTATTTGTTTATGGCCTTATTCAATATTATATTTTGGTACAATATAGAATTCTCAGCACAAAAATATTTCAACAAGTTTCTTTTACAGAAAAAAACGGTTAATAAAAAAAATCTGAAAAAACTGTACAAATTTTCAATTACAGTCATCTTAAGAATGCAAATTATTGACTAGGTTAACTCTAACAACCTGTTCGTCACAGAGTACATTTGCTAGGTAAGGTATTATAGAACGTTTATACTTTTGCTTGCCTGCTTGGATTTTAATGTAATTTTGTCTCGTTCTACCAGAAGATGTACAAGGAGAAAGATATGAGTGAAGGGAATGGTTATTATCTGATAAAATAACACCTGCCAGGAGTTTGCATGACTTTAAATGTCTATCCACGACCATATTAGTTATGGTCTCGAAAGATTCACCACACACTTTGCTAACTGCCTTCAGCACTCTTCGCAGTACAGCAAAGTCTTTTCTCAAAAGCCCGGGAAAGAATAACGGAGAACAGTAAAGAATGATAAGTAATATGCAAGAGTTGACAAATTGTAGGAGTAAACGACGAGTGATCCCAAAAGCATGCAATTTCTTAATGTAGTAAGTCAGACGGAAAACTTTCTTCGATAACAATAAAACGTGAGAAGACCAAAAGAGATCAGAGGAAAAGGTAACACCAAGATAATTGACCGTCGACACTGTGTTTATCAATGAGTCACCCATGGCACAAGGATTATGAGATCTCAAAATGGTGTTTAAATGCCGATCATGTCTCATGCTAAAGTTGACAGCTTGACATTTAGACGGATTAAGTAGGAGACCATTAACGACAGACCAACTATCAATGCAAGATAAAAACTCATTCATTTCTATGGGTTGTAAAGAGGAAGAGATAGGCATACAAACAGTGAGATCATCTGCATATTTCACAAAAGTGTTTACTGTGGAAGATGGCTGATCATGCAGAAAAAAAGAGAAAAGAAGAGGTGAAAGAACAGCTCTTTGTGTTACACCTTCATATGACACTAGAGACTCTGAACACTTTCCTCCAAACACTGTGTACTGTTCCCTTCCAGAGAGGTAGGAACATAGCCAGTTGGTTATCCAGCTGTCAGTGTTGACGCTGATTAACTTGTTAAGTAAACGTTGTCTTGATATAAAATCAAAAGCACAAGTATAGTCCAGGAAAGAGCATCGAACATACTTCTCACCCTTTTCTAGGTTGAACACTATATTATGATGCAGAACAGCAACAGCATCTAAGGTGCTTTTTTTGAATCTGTAAGCAAACTGATACTGGTCAATGTGCTCTTTTATCGCAGTCTGAAGTGAAATTGTCAATAATTTTTCCATTGCTTTGAGGAAGGGTGAAGTTATCGCAGTGGGTCTGAACTTCACATTCTTATCACTAGATGCTTTCTTGGGTATAGGGATTATCTTCCTCTTTCTCCACATTTTCGGTATGAGATTAGAAGAGAAGGATCTATTAAAGATAGTAGTGAATGGATAGCATAGGACGTCAGCACACTTTTTAAAAAAGAGGTTTGAGATACCATCAGGTTCCAAACATCGGGATGAATTTAGTGACTGGAGACATTTTCGGACATCATTTTCGGTAAAACTAGGAACACAGCTATTTTTTAAACCCGTGAATAAAGGGAGCATCACATCAGATGACTGACGTAAAAAAGACTTATTTAAGCCACAAACATCCAGCTGATTATCGGTCCTAATCTGTCTGTGACCTGTAAGTTCTTTAAAGAGTTTCCACATACTTGAAGAGTTTTTACAAGACAAGAGTTTTTGAGCAAACATAGTGTTGAGACGACTAATCTCGAGGTTTATCAGACCATTTAGCTTACGAACTTCACTTGAGTTTTTCTCCTTGTACATTTTTTCTTTCACCCTCCGTAGTCGATCAAAACTTACAAAAGTGGTTTCAGTGGGACAACAAATATCAAAACAGAATTTAAGGTAACAAGTGATAACATCAGAAGTGACTTCCAGTGAGTCGTCTGTAAATAATTCCCAGTTAGTCGTATGAAACATGTTTTTCAGATTTCGAATATTTTCTTCTGAGTAATTCCTATATTTGACTTTCTTGGTTTGATTTAAGAGTGTACTCTTCCCATGTTTTCCATATACTTTAGGTAGAACACGAATTATACAGTGATCCGAGCTAGACAACGGGGCATGTTTACGAGTCACATATGCACCTACATCATTAATGAAAACGAAGTCTAAATGAGCATCCAACCGAGTACGAAAATCTACTCCATTTTGGTGACCTAGCGATGTAAGAAAAATACAGTCACATGAATTAAAATCACCACATACAACTAAAAGTGAATCACTGGAGGCAGTAACAGCGAAGTCAGTGAATTCATCAGCGAAGACAGATAGCGCAGATGATGTGCAGTCTGGGGTCACATGGATATTGGTAACATAAACATATTTGTATTTATTCAAATGTTTTGGACGGCATCTTAGAGTTAGACAGTCTATAAAGTCATTTGAAAACTTGAAACACGCAAACGTAGATCGACACCAGTTCACGTTTACAAAAGTAGCTACACCACCGCCCCACCTCTTTTTATCGTTTGATCGATCCAGACGATAAATTTTAAAATCACGTAGGGATACTAGGCAGTCGTCCTGTAAATCGTTTAACCAAGATTCTTGAATTGTGATGACACCACAATTACAATACATATTTTGACTTAGTAGGGATTGAAGATAGCCCATCTTGTTAATTATTGACCGGCAGTTAGAATTTGGCAACTCGGGAATGGACATAAGATTAATGTTCATTCTCTTCAACGCATATCGCCAACCACCACGATGTCATTTATTGTAGTTTTTTGTAACTTGTGCAGCGAAAGGTCGTAGGCTTTTCATAAACGCGCCTGTATAGGTTATAATGAGAGGTTAAAACAAAATAATAAAACAGATAACTTGTTGAAATAATTAGATGGCACAAACAGGTAGCCCAGATAACATCATCACTCAGACCTCAAAATGTCGATTTTTCAGATATGAACTGAGCCAATCAAATAGAAGTGGTCTGATATCCAATTGTCTGAGCTTATTAATAAGACATATATGGTTGACCCTATCAAAAGCTTTTGAGAAGTCAAGGTAAATAATATCAACCTTCCCCTTGCGATCAAGGATGCTTGTCCATCTGTCCACCTCAGTCAGCAGGTTCGTCATACAAGAGTAGCCCTTCCTGAAACCATCCTCATGGGGTGAAAAGAAATTTAAGGACAGTAAGTAGTCATGTATACCATCGCATATCAGAGACTCCATGATTTTCGAAGGTATGGAGAGAAGAGACACCGGTCGGTAACTTGAAGGTTCGCTATGTATTTTAATTGTGATTGTCGAGTCTTATTGTAACTTGGAAAGATCCACAAAAGAAAGAACAGGTGACGTATTATTCATTAGGCACATTTACTGAATCCATGTGTCCTCATTATCCTTTAAACAGCACGCTATTTTGTAAAGGTTTATGAAAACATAAGTACAGTGTCGGCATATTCAAACACGGTACGTATATCTGTCTACAAATTTCCCCCAAACAAACTATGTAAGCAGGAAAAATTGACATTTCCATTGAATAACCGACGTTTAAGCTAAAAATCAACATTTTCCATTTATTTATGCTTTCATCCTCTTTATGTCCCCTTTGTTTGTCCTTGTTTCCCCTTTATTGGTTGCTTGGGCATACATGCATGTGGGCATTTATATATGCCTTATTTCTAATGAATTTATCCTCCACGTCACAATGTTGCCACTGTCAATCTGATTCTGATTCTCTTCTATTGACGTTTTGAAAAATTCAAAGTTAAACCTACACTGACCTGCGTTTGTGTCCATATGACGCTATAAAGGATCTCCAATTTTTTCCAAAGAGGTAAGAAACATGGTTAAATGTGTGATTAATTCTAGATTCCAATGTCATTCCGAACTCATTTAAATGAGTTTGTAGTGGCATTGGGCCCTAACCACACAATCCTCAAAGCTGGACCTGAGACTACTAGGAAAATATATATTCAGACTTAACGCGGAGAAAAGTCCATCGATGCAGAAGGCAGAAAGAATGAACTGAATTAATTCAAACTGATCGAATGGCATGGCTCAGCCTCGTAGGCGTGGTCGCTCTGTACAACTTACTATTACTCATATTAAGTATATTGTTCTATATCCAGCCTGAATGTGCTCCCCATCATATATTAGTAATTGTTACGATACGATGAGTTGGTGTAGACAATGATGTGACTTCCACGCACGAAGAACTTGGGTCTTTATGTATTTTCTTGTCCACCGGCTTCTATGTTGAAATAAGTCGACAATGCTTATAGAGACAAAGAAACACATCTCCGATGGAGTTTTGTTCTCTGAGCTGGATGGTTTGGTCGTGGAACTTTCATCGTTCCTCTGAAGTTTGTGCTGATGATGTCATTCAGAAGAACGATGCAAGATCTACAACCAAACCATCCAGCTCAGAGAACAAAACTCCATCGGAGATGTGTTTCTTTGTCTCTATAAGCATTGTCGACTTATTTCAACATAGAAGCCGGTGGACAAGAAAATACATAAAGACCCAAGTTCTTCGTGCGTTGGAAAACATGTCAATCTCTACAGGGAGTGAAAATCCACTAGTGAAGTTCACAAATAACTACTGTAGTGAACAGGAACATGAGTGGCGACAATCGAATGTATTTAACACAAAATTACAGGACTTCATAATAAAATCTAAGAACCATACAGTAAATGCTCAATTCGCAAAATGTCCATCGATTTTCTCAAAATGACTCAGACTTCATTGTTCGTTCATTTTCATACAAATTTCCTTCTGTTTTGATTCTTTATTGTTCGGTCCTCCTGTCCCTCTACTATCAGACGTTCTGTTCACGACTATCGTCACATACTACTTATGTCGACATAAGTAGCACACATCACAATACCACTCAATCCATGCTCTTAATGAACCTCAGGCAAGTAAACGATCCGTTCATGCATCGAAGCATCAGAAGACATATGTGCACAAGTTATAAGTTTAGTCGGTGCTAATGATTAAGTTACATCGTCAGAGTCAATCGTTCTCACTGATAACAAGTTCTAATATTGTAATCGTTATAAATTTACGTAAATTCATTTATATGACCACTAACTTTTGCTTACAGCGTTATGGCAAGGAAAGTGTACTGTGCGACATTATGTGACCATGAGACATAGGGAATATTGGTTCGCTTTGACGTGTAGCGATTACCAGGTTGGCGCACACACGATTAGTCGTACAGACCGTTTACCAAATACCCCGACTGTGAACAAGGTGTACTATACTACTAGGTTAATTGCGGTTTGTCACGATAGATAAGCTTTGTCCTAATTAAGATACTGATGCGTTATAAATGAAAAGGTATGGCCTATTCGAATACGTTTTGGTTCGTCAGTCCAACGTTCAAACCGAATACTGGCAGTTCTGTCGTTTCAATGGTTGTGCTATAAATTATGTTTTTATGGGTGACTGTTGTCGTCAGTCCCAAAACAATATCGTTTTCTTTTGTTTGGTAAGTCTTACTGGCCTATAGTTCGTGTTTTGGGTTCGTACACTCAATTATCTGCATTTAAATACTTTGAGTAACATGTCTGTGCAAATGAGGCAGTAATTATGACACCCGTTTATTTAAGCGTTCTTGGTTATCGTATAATTAAGTTTAGTCGACATAATTATACTATACTTAAGTATAGTGATTGAAGAATGTAATTAAGTGAATCATTTTGGTAAGTAGAGC